TGGGTAAGTCTGCGCGTCAAAGTGTGGAACAGCAGCTACAGCAGCAGCACAAACAGGGACAGCGGGCTTCGTCGCTGTTCGTGCGGGAGGATGCACCGCCGCTGTTGAAGCTTGCAGCGGCGACAGCGGCGACAGCGGCGGCGGGTGTGGATAAGGAGAACGGAGCGGAGCTGGGTTGTGTGGCGGCGGTGGCAGGCGGCGGGGCGGCGGCGGCTCCGATGGGAACCAGCAGGACGAGGCAGCGGATGTCGACGTGGCAACCGTGAGACGTAGGGGAATGCGGGTATTGCCTGGTATTGCGTCAAGGAATTCAGCTAAACAGTGTGTCTGTGTGGTATTTTTGCGTGGGTATATCAAATTGGGTGAAACTCGAGTGCGAATCCCAGAATTGATGGCATGTTAAACCTTTCGGCCTTTACAAGGATTGCGCCAATGCGCGCTCCGCATTGCATGATATGACGCCGGCATATGATCCAAGGCGCGTATCCGGGTGGCGTTTTGCAGCAGGTGAACCATGGGTCCTCATACCTAGTAGACATTACGCATCCACATATTATTCGTTTTCGTCCCAGCTGCTTCCAGCGCTCATGTAGTTTTGAATAAAGATGTATACACTAATGACGCCTTAGCCGTCCATGTGTTGAGCGGCGTCCCACGCGGTCCGAAGGGGGCAGGGGCAAGGGTTCGATCGAGGGCACCCCGCAGGCTGATGCGGCGCTTGCTACGTCTGGCCCTGTACACATGGGCCCTGTGGGGGCGGTGGCGGTAGCTGTAGATGCTATGACGGCATGTATAAATGCCGTCCGTATACGCTGTGTATGTAGCAGTATGTAGGAAAGACACAGTGTGAGGTGAGGGAAGAACGAGAGTGGTGTGGTCGTATGGGATGACGCAGGAATTTGACTGACAACAGCTATCTGTCGTCGAAGAATAAGCCCGTGATTCGGGCAAAAGCTGCGAAGAGGAACCTGTGTATGCGGGTGGCTCAGGTGTCTAGCACTGTGGAGGGGACTCTTGTTTGGAATTGCTTTGATGGTGAAGGTATATGCCTCGTTTTGTATACGACTTTTGTGGAAGCGCAGAGGAAACTGTACGTCTTGAGGGTGACTTACACCACATGAGGGCCCAGGGCCCCGGGTATCAAACAAAATCCCACAAGTCATTGCGTGCACGCAGGTAGCCAATGGACAACCACCGGCGGGACTATCATGTCCTGTATCGGCGCGTCCTGCTTAAACAGCTACTTGTGTAGTACGTGCATATAAGCTGCTGGACTGTTCGCACATGAAGCTGGTCCACCAGTGCGCAGGGTTTTTACAGTCTATCGGCGTTTGGTTTATACGAAGTGGTCTGGTCCTTCTTTGAGGTAAGGATGGCTGTGGAAGAGCTCATGCAAATTTCAGTTTGGGTCACATCTTTGGACCCATGGGTCAACCACGCAAAAGCGTACCGCGTACTTGACCCCTGGCGTGGCATCAAGAGTGTGCCTTTTGTGAATCGAGGCGTACAAGCTTTTATTGTCCGGTATATGTATACACAACGCATTCTGCAGTTCTGGAGCCCACATGCAAGCACAGAATCTGTCAAATCCGGCCCTCGCAAACCCCAAACATGTGAACCACAGTCGGTAAGTAGGCTTGGCATGCGTATGTTGTCTACTCCGCTCACACATTCCTCATGTCTTTCTTGTTTTGCTAGGGCACTTACCCACTTAGCACAATGCACGCTGGGCGGCCCCAGGCCACCATGACCCCAAGCAACCGCTTCTTTCGTTCTCCATGCTTGTCCAGTCACTGCGGTGAAGGCCTTGCACGGCTTGCAATGTGCCGCCGTGTGCATTGCACCAAACTGTGATACACGACAAACGCTGTAGAACTGCAAGCTACGAAGGATTTCCGCTACTGGCTGTATACTGGTAGTGGCTAAAGCCATACGTGGATTCTTGCACTGCATACGTCTTGGATATCCTGTTCTTATGGATTGCGTCAGACCTCGAATGTTGTCAGACTTCGGTGGTTTTGTCGCTTTACCTGCTACGCGAACGGGAGCTAGGCCCCTTGGAAGGCCGACTTCCTTATTTATCCATTTTCAAGATAGGCTATCGGCGGTACTACCTAGGCTGCCGTCAAATGTTATCTACGCCGTCTCGGCCGCGTCAACCGTCGAGCACTCCACCTCGTTCTCCTTCCAAGACCCGGCATCGCGTCTGCACTCTTCACGGTTCAAGGTGTTCTGCTGGTCGACTCCGCTGCAACGCCTCCTCACGGTCCCCCCCAGGACGCACGCAGCAGCCAGCAGCCATGCAAAACGTCCAACCGGCAAGCGAGGGGCCCCTGGGTGCTTCGCCTCAACAACACCGTGAGTCCTCAGAACCTACCTTCGTGGGCCTAGGTCATGTGCCCCTGACGAATATAGGATTCAGGCAGCATGCGCCTCTTCGTGCGTTGGACTGTCACGCCAACGCCATTTGCGTTGCCACACCGGAATACGAGTCCCTATGCCCCTGGACAGGCCGGCTGATTATCACGACCACCTCGCATTCCGTTCTAGCACAATAACGGCTCTTGCTCTGCTTTCCTAACCGCCCTGTAACGTCTCCATCTCACCGTGCATCGCTAGCCGCCGCCGCCGCAGCAGCAGCAGCAGCAGCAGTGGAGGAGGTACGGCAGCTGATCAGGACCCGCGGTGCTCCGGAGCTGCAGTCGGCGCTCACAGACGCTGCTGGCTTCAGCTCGCTGGTGTCGCTGCACGGGGAGGTGCTGGGGAAGCTGCAAGCGGCGCTGGGAGTGCGGCCGGCGCGGACCAAGCATACGGTGAGCGAGGATGCCTTGGGACCCTCTGGATGGGGCTGCAGAGAGGTGTCGGCTGGGGTTGGATACCGGTACGGCGGCGGTCAAAGGATGTGAAGGAGTGTGGCGGAGAGGAGGGTGTGGGAGTGCAGAGGGATGCAGGAGAGAGCACTGCATGCGGGGGGCGGGACCGACCCTCCGCAGCAGCAGGCAGGCTGGCTGCGTAGGCAGCAAGCAACGCATGCTAATGGACGCTGCATGCAGCAGCCATCCCGTGCCTGCCATCGACCTGACATCCTCTCAATCTCCCACTACCTTCGCCTCCTACACCGCTGCATCCTCCATCCTGTACGTAAGCCCCCTCACATTATCTCATTACCCCTCACACCGCAGGACGAGCAAGGCGTCCTCAAGCTGACCAGCCTGGAGCCCGGCAAGGCAGCAACCATCTTCCGCTCCTACCGTACAACCCAACCGCCAACCGCCGTTGCTACTGTCGCGCCGCCACCGCTGCCATCTGTCCCCTCCACCGCCGCCGCCGCCGCCGCCGCAACGCCGCTGCGGACCATGACTCAGATCTTTGGCGTCGGTTCGAAACCCGGCGGCGGCTCCGGTGGTGGTGGTTGCGTCTTCATGTACACCAAAACCACCGCCAGCCCCCTCGACGAGTGGCCCACGCCGCAGCTCGACATTGAGCTCGGCGGCACGGACAGCGCCCTCATCTTTTACGTCGGCTTGGGACCCAAAGCGCCGCTCACCACGGATCTCGAGTACATCGACCGTTACTACAACCGTCCGCCACCGTCGCCAACATCGGGAGTCGAAACCGCTAACGGTGGCGCCGCCGGCAACGTGAATGGCGAAGCCAACAACTGCATTAACGGCACCAACAACAGCTTCAAGGAGATCGAGGCCGAGGCGCGAAAGCAACCCGGATTCACACCTTTCGTGAGCCCCTCTCTGTGGGTCCGGGCGGCCGCAGTTGGCGCCCTGTGCTTCACCGTTGATTGGCAGGGCGGTCGCGACCCACAGGTCATGGGGTTGGTCCGGCAGTACGTGTTGGCGATTACGGACATTTGGCTGGCGCAACTGCATGCCGACGCGGCTGAGAAAGCCAACGGTGCTGCGGCGGCCGACCCATGGGTCGTTGAGCAGTGGCAGCGGGCCAGTGTGTCGCTCCGGAACCATGTGAAGCACGACCCCACGACGCCCATGCTGTACCCCGTGTACGGCGAGGAGCAGGTGAGATTGTGGGAAGCTTTGAAAAGGCCGTAGGGCTTTCACTGGTATAGTATCCTCTGTTGCACCAATCCTCCGCTGTTGGACGCTGTTGCACCCAATAACCCTCCGTTGTTGGCAGGTGCGCCAGTGGATGGAGACCACCTTTGGGGAGGAGTTCTGAGGAGCGGCAGTGAGCCAGTTTTCTTAGCACAATGGTGCTGTCTGGACATTGCGACACCTGCTGGGGGGTAAAAAGTGGAAACTGACGAGCTGTACAACGAGGCTGGGGGGCGGCAGTGCATTGCGTGATTGAGGCGGGGAAGGACGAGGAAGGACGAAAAGGAGGAAGAAGGGGGAGCCCAGGGTCATAAGAGGTACGACGGGAAAGCACGTCACGTATGACTGCTTGACCTCCAAAGGCATTAAACAACTAACTGGCCGTGTGATAAGGCGTCATCATGGTTTGCAACATGTGAGCCAGCCCGTTGTCTGAAAGTCGTATACTGCTTTTTGTGGCGTTGAGAGATACTTAAACATCGATTGTTAAGAGGTATAGGTTGGTTATTAATGCCAACAACGGTGGACTTCATTGCGCTGGAGTTGCTACAGGACACTGGCTGTGCTGTAACGGCATTTCATGTACCGGTGTACGACACTGAATGGGGTGATGCTGGTGAGTGGTGGTGGTGGTTGGTCCTTTACCGGTATTTGACGGCTCCCAGCAAGGCACACTAGCTAGCGGCGTGTGCATATCTTTCGCATGACTGCTGCTGGCTGTCGCAGCCCATGGATCCGAATGGTAGATGTGTTGCATGGCTCGTCCTAAGCAACGTGTCCCAATACGCCTATCTATTGCAGCAGAAATGAACCTGTCTGGTTTAAGTCTTTTCCCGTTTGGAATCGCCTTTAATACCGGTATAGCTCCGAAACAAACCCTATTCCCAATTTTCAGGATAAGCGCTTACAACGGTCAATTTAAGTTTTCGCATACATTGGATGAAAGAAAGGTGTATGATTTACAATTCCCGCCCAGCGCACTTTCCAGTTTAGTGCTGACGCAACAGTCCGCGTTTCGCCACCTTGCAAATAAAGCCATTGACACGACAAACCGTAGCGACAAGCAAGTCTCTAACGGATGGACACAAGCTGCCAACCAAGCAGTCACCCGCCAACCTCGGGCGAAGACACTGGAATGGCAGCGCCCATTTTTACTGTTCCAGACGACATCCTAATCCGCGTCATTCATTACCTGAAACCTCTAGACATCATTCATTTTGCTGCTGTCTGCCTGCGCTTCCGAGCCCTTGCCACCGAAGACATCCTAGTATGGGCGCCCATTTGTCGCGAAATCCTGGGCTCTGGCTCAGCAGCGGAGTCCCCGCTACCATGGGGCTTACCAACGTTCAGACGCCTGTATACAGACCTTCTTAGGATGTACGGACCGCTGCTTTGCGGTCCATGGCTGAGCGCATGCGCTCCGCTGGGCTCCCTCGTGGTCGCCTACCCCGAGCCGCCGTACATCATCGGTGCCGCAGTCACAAACCTGCGTCTAGGCGATCCGGGCATCACTGCCGTACCAATTTTCCGGGTGTCGTACGACGCTGATGCTGGCTCTGCCGTTGTCAGCTGCCTGCGCGCCAAGAATACCTTCCACGCACTGGTGTTCCGTACGCTACCCCTGCACCAGTTCCTGGGTGATCCCATGGACCCCGACGTCGCTGAGGAGGAGGAGGAGCGACAAGGGCCGCATGCAGCGGAGCTGCGGCTGCGGTACGGCACTGCGGCTGAGGAAGTAGAGGAGGCGTCAGAGGGGGAAGTTGAGCGGGCTATGGAAGAAGACGAAGAGACGACGGAGGGTGTGGAGGAAGAAGAAGAAGAGACGACGGATGAGACGGGGGAGCTTGAGACGGATGAGGATGTTGGCGAAGGAGAAGGAGAAGAGGTGGGAACGGGAGGTGGCGGGGAGGTAGCTGCTGAAGCCGAAGGAGGCGGCGGTGGTGATGTTAGCACCAGCAGCAGCAGCGGCCATGACAGCGGGGCCGCAGGTCGGGAGAAGGAGGTACGGCAGGAAAGCCCCGGCGGCGGGGCTGGTGGTGGTGATGGTCTTCAACGGCGCCCTGTATACGGTTGGGGCTGTGGCGGCGGCAGCCTGCGAGGCTTCAGCTTCCGGTGCAGGTAGGGTAGGGATGGGACTGTTGCGCAACTGTTTGCGATCTGATCTGGGTCGTTGGCTTGGGTCCGTTGGCTTGGGTCAGACTTCAGTAAGGTCTGCGGCAGGTGAAGCGCGGAAGCCTGTGGATACTGAACAGCTTTACGCTTGTTCCAGGAAGTTTTGCTGGCGCTGCCCTCCCGCCCGGCCGCCCTGCCATTTTCATTCAAAACATTGGGTATTCTTCCTTTCCCCACCTGCCCCAGCCGCGCCACCTGCTGTCACACGGAGGTGGAGGCGGTGTGCCGCTGGGACCCGGCCGACGCCCGGCAGCTCCCACCCGAGGCGTTGCAACCGCAACCGCAAACGGGTGAGCAAAGCGTGTTGGATCTGGGTCGTCAGCAGGCCTCACGTTGACGGGGCCCTGCGGCGGATGAATGGCTAGAGGGTCGCGAGCGCTGAACGCTGCATGATGGGTAGGGAACTCCCAGGCGTAGGGAAGTGGAAGGTGAGGGAAGGGAGACCGTTGGGGGGCCTCAGGGCGTGCACGCCAACCAACACAACGTCTGAGCTGCAGCATACCCCCAATCCTCCGGTTTCACCTCCACGTGCACTGTCCGTCCCCCTTCTATCTCCCACTCCGCTTTCCGGCCGCATGCCAGGTCCATCCGGCTCCACTCCCAGCGCGGCAACCGGCGGCGCGGGCGGCAGCAGCAGCAGCACCAGCCCCAGCAGCAGCAGCGGGGACCTGCTGGACCTGCACGTGCCCACCGCCTACAGCTCCCGCGAGAGGGTCCACATGGTGGCATGGACGCTGCAGAGCCTGGTGGCGTACGACAGGGACAATGGGGTGTCGTACAGGTGTGTGGGTTTTGGTAGCTAGGGACAACAGGGTGTCGTACAGATGCCGGATGCTGCACCTGGTATTCTTCCTCTTCATTCCTTGTCTTATTGTGGCCTCTGCACTGCACGATAGCAGCATGCATGTCCATATCAGCTATTTGTGATCCATTGCCTACATCGTTCCTACATTCCTTTCCGCTGACACCCCAACCAATGCCATGTGCTGATGTATGCGCCATCCACCAACCCACCCACCCGCTTTCCGCGCAGGCGGCTGTACAACCCTGCGAGGCCCACCACCACCACCACCCCCGCCGCCACCACCTCCAATGCACCAGTCGAAAGCTCCGCACCCACTGCCACAGCCGCCACCTCATCGGGACCTGCCGCCGGCACTGCCGCTGCCACCGCAGCTCACGACGTCGCCCCCGCCGGAGCCGTACCTGATGAGCCCGCCGTACCCTCCGCCGCGGCGGCGGCGGTGGCGGAGGCAGCGGCGGCGGAGGCGGTGGCGGCAGAGGGTGGCCGTCCTGGCGACGGCGCCGCGGCTGCTCCTCATGAGGCGCTGCCAGCACCCGGCGGACCCCCGGCGGCGGCGGCGGCGGCGTCAGCTCCCATGCAAGTGCCGCCGCAGCCGCTGCCGGTCCACCCACTGGAGGGCGTGTGGCGGGGCACGTACGGCGCCCACGGCATTGAGGTGCTGCATGTACGGCGGAGTGGGCCCGCGGTGCTGGAGGGACGCAAGCTGACGGGTGGGTGGCGCGGATATGGGTTTGAGGGGGTGGGCGTGTGCATGCATGCGTTTTCATGTCCTGTTCATGCGTTCCGATTGGTTGAGCTGCCTGGTTACGCCTGCTACCTTACGCCTCCACTGTAACGAGGTACGAGAAACGAGAAACAGCGAGCGTGTGTGTGTTTGCCGACCGAACCGTATCGCTCCGCTGCCACCGCTGTCACGGTTGCTACCTGCGAGCCCCGCACCCCCCCGGCTGTAACCGCCTCCCTCCCACCTCCCCCTCGGCCTCCCTCCCCCTCCCCCTCCCCACCACCCAGGTGACGACAACGTCCCCGCCGGCGCCCTCTCCTTCCGTATCTTCCTGGACCGTCCCCCGCCCCCCGCCTCCCCCCTGGCAGCCCTGCGCGGTAAGCCATTCCGCCTGCCGCCCGACTACACCTCACGCGTGCAGCTGGAACCTGCTGACGCTGCTGCTGCTGCTGGGGGTGCTGCGGGCAGTGGGGGTAGTGGGGGTGGTGGGGGTGGTAGCGGTCCTGCTCTTCCGGCCGCCCCTGTGGTGGTGCTGGAGCTGCTGCCGGCGGAGGGGCAGGTGGCGAGCGGCGGCTTCCGACACCCCTCCTGGATTGCCGCGGAGGTGGCGGTGCTGGGGGCGCACACGTTCGGACTGGCATGGCACGACCTGCGCAGCTTCTCCGTGTTTCGGCGGGTGCGGCTGGGGCTGCGGGAGGAGGAGGAGGAGGAGGGGGAAGCAGGGGAGGGGAGGGAGGGAGAAGGTATCGGTAGGTAGGGTGAAGCGCCGTTCTTATGCTGAGGAGGGAATAGGAAAGCCGGAAGGCAGGGAATGAGATGAGTGCAAAGGTGGTGGCTGTGGGATTGTGTGGTAATTAAACCAAGGTGGCGTGTGGTGCACGCGCTTACTGCGCTTAAGTGGGTCAGCAACCCGAATTGGTTGTTTTAGGCTAACGGAATTGGAGTTGCACCGACTGTATGCTGTCCAGGTGGCCGTATGTGGAACAGTTGTTGACGGGATGGATGTGGGATTACGATGCTGGTGCTAGGAGCTTGGCGGGGTGGGAATGACATGGATTGGGTCCGTGTAAGAATTGACCGGTCTGATGTTGCCGTGAGGAGTGTTGATGTTGTGCACAGGCAACCCGCGGCAAACTGTGGAAGTATTCGCGGGCTGGATGGACTCGGTCAACTTGTGCAGGTTGGAATGCGCTGTGTTGGTCGTTGTGTGTTGGAATGCGCTGGTCTGGATCGAGTGGAGTTGCCGTCTGCAGCTGCCTCTGATTGCGAATTCGCCCGTGGTGGGCGTTCTGCCATGTTCGTTGACATCGCGGTGGTAAGGAGGTGAGTTCACCAGTTGTACTCTTGAAACGGCGTGTCCCAGCTGTAAGTTGTTTGGGTGAGGCTTAATGGTGCTTTGCAGCTGTCTTCCCTCATAAGAACTTAGCACGGTGCGGGGACGAGTAAGCCGGGCATGATCGCGGGTTAATGAGCAGCATGTTGACTATGTGCGGTTATAACCGACCTTTGGAGGATGTCACCTTACAAGCACAGCTTTGCTTCCAACATATTAGCAATAACTATTTCATTTACATGAAGCTATTTGCCTTGCGTTACAGTCGAGACTCGACAAAGTTCCTAATGCCGTATCCGTACGCGCCAATGCAATACGGACCCCTCAAGCTGATAGCATAGGGGCACAAGCAATCTTTTAAAGCAGAGGGCGTGTGTGTAAAGTGGATACAATATAAGCCCTATGCTTGTATCCTGAACCTAACGGCCAATAATGCCTGCTGCTCCTAAGTAGGTTTTCTCGAGGATTGCTAGTTGCTTGCGTTTCTACTTATCTGTGCACGATGGGGTCGGTGCGTGGGAAGAGGGCTCAGACTGCGCAACCTCAGCAGCCCAACAAACGTCTGAAGACCTCCTCACATGACGAGGGCGCTCCGTCAGCTGAGGTTGACATGTTGCAGATGCTGCCTCCGGAGTTGCTCCTGATCATAATCGGCAACCTGACACCAAGGGAATGCCAGCCTCTACGCCTCACCTGCAAAGCGCTGCGTGACCTTGTTAACTCAACTGCAGCGGACACCCTCACCGTCACGAACGATATGGCACAGTACATCATGCTGGAGCAGATAAAGCATTGCCGCTCAGGGACGCATGTCTTGAGCAACGGCTGGGTCGCTCAGCTGCTGGCAAAGTTCCCGCGAATTAAGAAGCTGGACGTTAAGTGCAGCCAGAGCGTCCTAACGTTATTTTCTCGACACATGGTGCGGGACTGCCTGAGCAGCGTCCCTCCGGGTAGTGTCCCGCTCTCTCGCATTTTCGATCTCGCGGAGAATGTGAAGACCAATAGCCGACGTCACTCTGCGGTGCTACTCTGCGAGCTGTTAAAGTTTAAAGTAGCCCAGAGCTTGAACTCCAAGCCACCCGGCTACGATACCATGCGTCAGGATGTTAAGCAATACGTTCGCGCAGACCAGGTGCGTTACAAGTGCACTCCCGATTGATCAGGGCCTTCGGCGTCCGCACCCGCATGGTAATCCATCAAAGGATAACGTTGTTGCATTAGCACCGGGGCCAACCCCCGCAACGGCCCTTTGCCTACACACACAGCTAGGGCCGTTGCGCGGGGTCAAGTCTCGATGCTAAAGCCCCTTTCTTCCCTTCTCCCTCACCCCAGCTGCCTATTCAAACACCAGCGATTACCCTCCCAACCCACCTTCCCCACCTCCTCCTCCCTTCTCCTTCCTCCCTCCCTCCCGCCCCTCCCCCCCAGCTGCTCACCGAGCACCGCATCGAGCTGCAGGCGCGCGTGCTGGAGCTGGTGGACCGGGTGCTCACGCTGAAGGGCCACGTGGACGCGCGGGCGCACGAGCACTACAAGTACGCGCGCGACACGCTGGACGACTCGCTGCTGGCGCTGGTGAGCTGCCTGCAGCCGCGGCACAGCAAGTACGCGTACCAGCTGCTGGCGAAGGCGGCGGACCCGGCCAAGGCGGCGAGGGGGTGGAGGTGGGTGGTGGTGGGGTGCGGGGAGGGGAGGGATAAAGAGGAAACAACTAACTGACTGAGGGATAAGGCGTCAACATGGGTTGCATCATGTGAGCCAGCCCGACCCGCCCAACCCGAATTAGTGAAGCCAGTACGTGTAATGCACTTACCAAAAAATGAAGACTTACCGAAGCCAGAGCGAAGATGGAGAGGGAGAGAAAGAGTAGTGTCGCCAGTACATCGAGGTAGCCAGCAGCCGCGCCGACGGTCCGTAGGGAGCCAACTAGGACGCAACCCCACACGC